CTCGGTCTCTCCCCCTCTGTCCTTCTCCCTCCTACTTCATCACTCCGTGGTACCGGCTCTGCGGCTATGGCTGCTGTCTTTCTTCTTCGTGGACTGCGCAACAACTTCGCAGGTACGTAACAACCAATCTTGTATCGCTCATCTCTCTCTCTCTCTCTCTCTCTCTCTCTCTCTCTCTCTCTCTCCCCCCCCCTCTCTCTCTCCCTCTGTCTCGGTCTTCTTCTTCGCCGTTGTCTTCTTGCAGGTGCGCGGCGGTATCTTCCACCTCAGGTCCTCTATGGCGGACTATCTCCTTCGGCGGCCACCTCGGCTATGGCTCATTAGGCCCTGCATACGACGGCGCGCATGGAATAGCGGGTACCAGCTCCGATACCAATGCAATCAGACTCGTTCTCAAACACACTTTTCATGCATGTAAACAGCAACGCAGCATACTGGCGACATGCGCCCACYCAAAACTCAGAGATATGGCTTTCAGATACGAGTTCACTCTCAATTAGCTATGGCAACTTCAACGCCCAAACATCTCACTGTTCACATACACTGGATCACCCTCGATATCCCACATGCATCACTTTAACACTTGAACACACACACGCACTCACTACTAACTACAGCTATGGCAACTTTCGCTGCATCTAACCTATCGCTAGACTAACTCCCTCTCTCTTGCCCACTGCGTCCTCCGGGCTCATCTGCAGACCTCCTTGCACAAGTCGCTGTGGCAGCGCTTCTGCATGGCTCACGCAGGAATGAATGAATGGTTGGGCACTGCCTCTTGATTTATACTCCAGAAATGCGTTGGTTTGCCCTTTGCCATCGGCCCTCGGTGCTCACAGTCCCCCTGTGGTGCTTGCTGGACCGGACTGGGACTGACTGGACCTTCCGCTGACTGACTGTGGTCTCACCACCATCCTACCGACGTTGTACTGCTGTTGCACTGCCGTTTAGTCCACCACTTGCCTCGCCACTTGACCACTTGCCCACTTGCCTATCTTCTAAAAGGTCTACAGCTAAGCTTCCAGAACTCACTAAGACTCCTACGCTATAGACCTACAGATCGAACCCCTGCTGTCTATGGACCTACGATAAGTCTACCAACTGCCTACGAATACACAGGTCACAGGTTCAATTCTCGGGGTCTACACAGATACTGTACATGGGTAGGGTGAGGTCTAGGGATCGAACCCTGGATACTGCATCCGCTACTGCTAAAAGGTGAAAACCGTTTCATGTGTGTGTGTGAGTGTGGGTGCGTGTGTGCGTGTGGGTGGGTGGGTGGGTGGGTGTGCGGGGTGGGGGTCGGGGTGCAGGGCGGGTGGTGGGTCGCCGCCTGCAACGCACCCGCCACCCCGCTCCCTTTTGTCAGCGCCAACGTCGGAGAAACTTGGCGCCAAAACGATGAATAAAATGAAACTTGCGAAAACAAAAA